ACCCGGAAGGGGAACTGGGGGCGACCCTCGGCTTCAATAATGCATGGGTTCCCTGCAATGCCAGTGACATTTATTTTTTGGACCCTAAACCCCCCCATCCCAGCCCCGCCTGCCTCTTGCCCCCTTAGTAGCGGGGGGCTAAATTCCGGGTTTCTTCTAAGTCCTGTCCCGCCCCCTTTCCCCACCGCCACCCTGCTGCCCGCCCCTGGGTAGCAACCCTCGTGCCCACTCGTTTCACACCCTTGCTTGCATTAGACTTGCAGAACCCCAGAACCCTGGGAGATTCAGCCCAGGCCTCAAGGCCACCCTTGCCTTCGTCTCCACCCTACTGCCCGTCCCTTGATCTGGGCTGTGGCTGTGTTTTCCGGGAGGTCTCAGCACCTCAGTCTTTTTACAAATCCCTACCCCGAGTGTAGCCCCTGGCCCCCGTCCCCCTTGCTCAGCTTTCTTCTGGGCAAAATGGAGGTCCCAGAACTGGAGGGCCTGGCCCGCGGCGCTGTGCACGCATCGCGGCAGCAGCCTCCGCCTTCCAGCTGCCGAACCCGGGGACCCTTCCCTGTCTCCTCACTCCTGCGGAGGCGGTGGCACCCCCTTTTTTGTTTGGGGGGCTGTGGCTGCTGAGGGAGTCCTGGAGGGTAATGGGGGATCTTAAGAGCTGGGAGCGTGGGCCCCGACCCGGTGGCCTCTTCCTGGCCTGCTTTCCTTCGGCCCCGGGCCTGTCACTGCGGCTAGACCTGCTGGCCGCTGGAGGGAAGGGGCTTTTGTCCGCAGCTGGAGCGGGGTGGTTGTGTGGTTGCACCCTCCCATCTCACTTTGGAGGGGCATCCCCTGGCGCTGGCGCAGAAAGCTGAACTCACTGAGGGGAAATATGTCCGGGGAAGAGGAACGCCCAGTGGCTGGGGGAAGTGGGAGCTGGGTGGGGGCCGCCTGGGCCGCCAGAGTGCTGTGTGCACGGCCAGATCGCACAGGTGTCCCGGGGAAGGCAGGGCGTCGGGGGCTGGAGCGGTGCCAGCTAGGCCTCGGGGGCTCTTGGGGTGCCTAGGGGCATCGGGCCAAGCCGTCTGGGGCCGCTTGCTGGCGCCTGGGAGAGAGCAGCTCCGCGCCCCGGGGCCAGGGGCCTCTTCGGAGCCCTAATTACTTCTGAGCGGCTCCCACGGGCTTCGTGCGGGCGCGGCGGGGCGGGCGACCTCGGTGCCGAAGGGAGCGGGCTGCAGGGGGGGCAGCCTTCCCCGCTGCTCTCCGCGGCTGATGGGGCGCAGCCGGCCCGGAATGGGGATCATCCCGGGTTGAGCCGTCCCGAACCTATTAGTGCTCAATCGGCTTTTCCCAAATCCTGTAAACAGCCGCCCTGGCCGGCTCTGGGGAAGAGGCGGGAGACGAGGTCGGGCGGGGGCGATGGGGGCCGGGGGTGGGGTCACCCACCCTACAGGTCTCTGCCGCGGATGCGGTTGCCTTGGCAACGAGGCTAGGGTGGGGGCCCTTCACCAATGAGGTGCTCTCAGTCCGGGTGACGGTTGCCTAGGCAACCCCACGAACAGCCTAGCTTCTCCCCTCAGCCCCCCCATCACCACCTCTGTCTTAACTGGGGGTGTGTGTGGAGGGTGTGCGGTGTGTGGGGGTGAATTTAAAGAGGCACCGCCCCTTTTTAAAATTAGGTGCTGGGAGGGCGGCGCCTTGTGCGGGCTGGGGCGGACGCCAGGTCTGTTTTCGAAGGGACTCCCCCCCCCAACCCCAGTTCCTGCCGCCCGCCCGAGTGTCCCGCCCGGGCTGCTGTCCGAGGGAGGGGTTTCCCCTTCTCTTCCTCTTGCACTTCCCACTCCGTTTCCGGGGGCCCAGGAGGAAGACTGGGGAAGTCGGCTGTTCCCTGGCAACGTCTCTCGGGTGCCGGAGACCCTAATCCTGCCCCGGGTACCGCGTCCTCTGCTTCCCTGTCCAGCCGACCCCTTCCGGGCCGCGGGCTTCCACCCCGCCTTCCCCGGCTGCTTCCCGGGCGGTCTTGGGGCCTGACGTCAGCCTTGCATCCCCCCCTCCCAGGCCTCGGGCCAGCGGCCAGGAGCTGCCTCCCCCAGCCCCCTTCCCGCGGCCCCCAGCCGCCCCCAACCCCGCCCCACGGGCCCGGCGCCATGAGTGAGCTGGAGCAACTGAGACAGGAGGCCGAGCAGCTCCGGAACCAGATCCGGGTGAGGGCCTGGCGGCTGTGATGGGGAGGCCGAGCCCGGCCAGGCGTGGCTGGAGTGTGCTGCTTCCCTTTGACCTGAGCAGAATGGGTTGCCTGTGGCCTGTGTGTGTGTGTGTGTGTGTGTGTGTGTGTGTGTGTGTGTGTGTGTGTGTGTGTGTGTCAGGGTGAGAGGAGAAAGGGGATTCTAATGTGTGTGTGTGAGAGTGTGTGTGTGTGTGTTACAGAGAGGAGAAAGGGGATGTATGTGTGTGTGTCAGGGTGAGAGGAGAAAGGGGATTCTAATTGTGTGTGTGTGAGTGTGTGTGTGTGTTACAGAGAGGAGAAAGGGGATTCTAATCTCCAGATGTCTCTGTTTCATCTTCCCTCTGCCTTGTCTCCTGTTTTCTTTACTCCTCCTCACCCATCGCCCCCCCCCCCCGCTCTGCCCTCCCTTACAGGACGCCAGAAAAGCATGCGGGGACTCCACGCTGACCCAGGTGAGCCGCCGCGCTGGAGGGAGGGGCTGGATGGCTTCTGTCCCTTGGTCTCCGGGTACCACCTCACTATCTCCATTGTTCCAGATCACAGCTGGGCTGGACCCAGTGGGGAGAATTCAGATGAGAACACGGAGGACCCTCCGTGGACACCTGGCAAAAATCTATGCCATGCACTGGGGGACAGACTCAAGGTGTGTGGGTGGCTGCTTTAGTGTGTGTGGGCGCTGGGGTGATTTTTGAGCAGAGTGGTGACACAGGGTGTCTGTGGGGAGAACCTTTGTCAGTGAGTTAGGGAAGACCAGAGGACCAGGGATGCAGGGTTACACTGAGGATTTGGGGGATGTCTCTGAAGAGTCCCTAGATGGGAAGGGATAGGAGCCCTCTTGTGTCACCCACACCCTGACTTGTCTGCATCCCCTGCCGCTGCCCGCCAGGCTGCTGGTCAGCGCCTCCCAGGACGGGAAGCTCATCATCTGGGACAGCTACACCACCAACAAGGTAAAATTGGCCCTCATAAGTGGGTAGGAGAGGACTGCCAGCCCTGACTGGCTCTGACTAGGGGTGCTGCTCTCCTCTAGGTCCATGCTATCCCTCTGCGCTCCTCCTGGGTCATGACCTGTGCCTACGCCCCCTCAGGGAACTTTGTAGCCTGTGGGGGCTTGGACAACATCTGCTCCATCTATAGCCTCAAGACCCGAGAGGGCAATGTCAGGGTCAGCAGAGAGCTGCCTGGCCACACTGGTGAGTGGAGCCTCACGGGAAAGGGGTGGGGGGTTGGGGGGCTGGCCTCCCTGAGATATCTGACTATGACCTCCTCTCCTCAGGGTACCTCTCATGCTGCCGCTTCCTGGACGACAACCAAATCATCACCAGCTCTGGGGACACCACCTGGTGAGGCTCTGCCAGGCTGGGTTCTCTGCCTTCGGGTGATCCAGGGCCCAGCAGGTGGCACATTTCTGAGCACCTAGTCTTCCCCCCTGGGTGGGGGCCAAGTGACTTCCCCAGGCCTCCTTCGCAGAGGGTCCTGACGGGTTTGGTGGGAGAGCTGGGGACTCTGTCCTTCAACTCATTTCTGATCCTTCTCCTGTCGCCTCTCCAGTGCCCTGTGGGACATCGAGACAGGCCAGCAGACAGTAGGTTTTGCTGGACACAGTGGGGATGTGATGTCCCTGTCACTGGCCCCCGATGGCCGCACCTTTGTGTCAGGTGCCTGTGACGCCTCCATCAAGCTGTGGGATGTTCGGGATTCCATGTGCCGACAGACATTCATAGGTCATGAGTCTGACATCAATGCCGTGGCTGTGAGTGTGGAGCATGGTGGGCAGCCCCTGCACCCCACGCCCCGCCTTGCCCCGCCCCTTCATGGCCCGCCTCCGCATCTTGCAGTTCTTCCCCAATGGCTACGCCTTCACCACGGGATCAGATGATGCCACCTGTCGCCTGTTTGACCTGCGGGCTGATCAGGAGCTGCTCATGTATTCCCATGACAACATCATCTGCGGCATCACCTCGGTTGCCTTCTCGCGCAGCGGCCGGCTGCTGCTCGCGGGCTATGACGACTTCAACTGCAACATCTGGGATGCCATGAAGGGTGACCGTGCAGGTGAGGCCTGGTGGGCCCACAGAGGGTACAGGTATGAAGCGTGGGTGGCCAGATTAGTCTCTATGTCCTTCTCTTCTCCAGGTGTCCTCGCTGGCCACGATAACCGTGTGAGCTGCCTTGGGGTCACAGATGATGGGATGGCCGTGGCCACAGGCTCCTGGGACTCCTTCCTCAAGATCTGGAACTAACCACCCCAACCCCAGATGGGCCTAGCAGGGAGCAGCCCTGCCTGTGCCCACACTACAGGCCCGGAGCTTTGGGGCTGGGTACATGTGCCAAGCCTCCCTCCCTGGGCTACAGGGCCTTGGGCCCTGCTCCTACACCCAGGTTTGGTTCCTCCCGGGGGAGGGGGAGGGTGCCCACAGTGAGATAAGTCTAGATGGAATGGGGGAGAGGAAGGGCAGGAAAGCCCTCACCCTTTGCTGCCCTGGGGCTGGGGCCTCACCCCTCTGGAGGGCCAGAGGCAGGAGATGGAAACCCCAGGGGCTGGCTTTTTTAAACTGGTTTTATTTTAATTTTTATTATATTTTCAGTTTTTCCATAAAGGAACCACTTCCAACTCTGTACCCAGTCTCCTTGATTGCTACCCCTCCCCCAAAGCAGGCAGTGGCTGTGAGGCTCCTCCAAGCTATAGGCCCCGTTCCTGCTCTGCAAGACTGATTCCAGCAATTCCCAGGGGTGCATAGCCTTACCCAGCTCTGCCCCAGCTCAGAACCATGACACACGTAGCAGACAGTGTGGATGGGAGAACACACCAAGTTTTATTGGGAGTATGTACAAGGGTAGTGTAAGGGAGTCACAATGGGGCGGAGGTGGGGTAAGCGGGGTACACAGGGCTCCCACACTACCCTGAACCCCCAGGAGGGGGTGGAGCAGCTAGGACCATGTAAGACTGGGATGGGAGAGGGTTAAGACGCGGTGGGGTTAAGACGGGGTGGGGTCTGAGTCCCTGGGCCAGGGGGCTCAGGGCTTGTAAACATTGACCACTCTCAAGAGGGGACGGGGTGGGAGAGGGCTCCCCCTACACTTCCTCACAGGGTTAAGGCCTCTCCAGGCTCATGGGCCCCCAAGTTCAAAGTCTCTTTAGCTGGGGGAAGGGGTAGGAAGAGACAAGTGCCCCCCCTGCCCCTGCATTGGCTGTGGCAGGGGCAGGGCAGGTTACATTCAGTCACAACAGGAGTCTCTCCCACCCCTCCAATGCCACCATAATGGCAAGAGGGAAGGGGGGCGGGGGGCCAGCAGCAGCAAGACGTTTCCCCCAGCCATCACCCCCTTATTGCTTTAGAGAGAATATTGTCTTTTCACAGACGTTAACACTGTCAAAACCAGGGAGAAGTAGGTGGGGGCCCTTCCCCCCAGAGGCCAGCCTTATCCCCAACACTGACCCAGTTGCCACTTTGGTGCAAAAAAAAAAAGAAAAAAACAACAACAAAAAAAAACCCCCAAAAAATACGAATAACAAAAAACGAAAACAAAAAAGCAAAAGGCCATGTCTCTGGAGACAGATGGGAAAGAGGGAACTGGGGACATCCCCACTCCCCAGGGCAGGAAAGAGAATACATTCATGGAGGGAGGCAGCGGCAGTCTCGCCCTAATACTGCATCTGAGCAATGAGGTTGATGGGAGAGCTCACTAACACAACAGCATGTCAAAGAAAAAAAAAGGCCAACCAACCAACCAACCATGGAGACAGGCCCAGCAGGCAGGGGACTAGGAGTGAAGTCGGTGAGCAACAGGCAAGGCAGCCCCCAGCCCAGGACACAGCTGACTCCAGCCTCACATTAACGCCCACATGGAAACATCCAGCAGAGGGGCTGCTCGCTCCCCTCCCATTTGGTCAGAGGCGGCGTCAAGTGCAGGGCTGTGGTCTGCTTCCCGCACGGCTGGCTGCAGATCAGGGAAGATTCCCACAATGGCCCCACCACCACAGTTCAGCCCAAGCCACCCTTCAGCGTCTCCCTCACACAGGCAAGGACTCGGCCGTGATAAGGGAGGTGGTGTTCTCCAGCTCCTGGAGGAAGGGCTGTGTCTCTTCTCGGAGGGGGCGAGACGGGCTTGGGGGCCAGAGAATACATTCATGTGGCAAAGGCAGGGAGCTGAGCCTGCAGTGTCACACCCAGGCTGTCCCCCGAAATGGCAGCAGTGGGGGCAGCCCCTCAGCAGGCCTGACTTCAGACCCCACCTGACAGGCTGGCACCGACAGGTCATTCCCCAGCTCCCTCCAGCCAGCGTGGGAGGGCTGTTAGGGGTTGAGGGAGAGGGAGCGGAGACAGTTTGTCCCATTTGTGCAACTATCCCCCCAAAGCAGCTGAGGCGAAGGGCGACTGTGGCCCCCTTACCAGGACACCTGCCACAGTGGCCACCACAGGGAGCTGTTCACAGCCGGTCCAGTGCACAGGGCTCCTGGAGAGGGCCTCACTGTGCAAACTGCCAGCACCCAACTTCCAGTTACCCCGATGACCACTTTCTGAGGGCAGCAGCAGGGTAAGTGCAGCCCTAGGGGAGCCAGGCAGGGCGGTTCCTTAGGGCCTGGTACCCACTGCCCCAAAACAACAGTGTGGTTTTTTTTTTCCTTCAGCCTAACTTTTTTTTTTCATTATTTTTCATCTTTTCTTAAAAAAAAAAAAAAAAAAAAACAAAAAACCCCAAAACAAAATAAAACCTCTGTGGACCTTCCAATGTCACACCCATTATCCCCAAAGGGGCGAAGGGGTCTACAATCTAGTTTTCGAATGATACTTTTGTCTCTCCTATCGTTGAAAATTAAAGAGAAAGAAAGCCCCTCCCATGTGTAAAGTGCCTCGTGGTGGGTGAGTTAAGGTGCATCGTGTGTTTGTAACAAGTGCTGGGACCCTGCCCCACTTGCTTCCTCCTCTGCTCCTCGCTGGGAGCCTGCAGGCTGGAGACCCGAGGGTCCATGCTGCCATCGCCTCCCAAGCCTAAAGCTCAGGGGCTGGTGGGACAGGCTGGTCAGTAGTCATCCACGCTCTCGAGCTCACCGGAAGGGCCGTGCAGGGAGTACCCTGAAGCCAGGGGAGAGAGAAGTGAGGGGGAGCGCACCCTATGTGGGGAAGCAGGGTTCCCCAGCACCCTACACTCACCCAAGATGCTGGGGTCCGAGTGAAGCATCAGTGCCCTCCTCTTGGCCTTGCTGCCCTCCCCAGGGCCTAGTTTGGTGCTGTGGTTGGCCTGAAAGGCTGTCTGTAGGGAGGTGCTGCTCAGCCAGGCCTCCTAAGGCAAGAGAGTGGAGTCAGGACAGTCCTGGGCGCCTTGCCTCCCAGGTCCCACAAGACTCCACCTGCTGCTGCTGCTGCTGCTGCTGCTGCCGTTGGCTGGCTTTCTGCTTGGCCCTCCGCTCCAGGAATTGTTTGGCAAATTCTTTGGCTTCCAGCGTGTCCCCCAGGCAGGAACGGATATAGTCGTGGACATCATAGGGGGACTCCACCTCCTTGAGGATCGCTACAGCCATGGGCACTATGGGGAGGGGACAGTCGAATATGCTGGCAGGCCTAGAGTCCCCGGTGCAAACATGACCACAAGGACTGCCCTCCTACCGTCCAGGCTGCCTGTGGTGCTCAGGGTGTGCAGCCTCTGCTCACACCACTGGGTGAAGCCATCCTGGGGCCGAGGGATGCCCTGCAGCAGCTTCAGCAACTTTTCCTCCTCCTCTGTCTTTTTGCGAACAGGCCGACCTGACAGGTGGCTGTATGAGTCACTGAGACAGGTAAGGAATTGGAGGCCACAGATGAGCCAGGAGCTTAGTAGCCGCCCCTCCCCGACAGACCCCAAGCTGACCAGGTCTCACCCACCTGAGAGACGGGCTGCTCCGACTGTTCTTTAGGCCCAGGCTTCGGGCCAGGCTCCCGCCACTCTTGAGGGTGTCTTCCCAGAGTCCCAGACTGCCACTGCCGCTGCCCCCACTCTTGTCTGGCCCGCCCCACAGTGGCCCAGCCTCAGACACCCACTGGTTCAGGGGGGCAGTGCCCAAGCCCCCAAGCTGCTGCAAATGGCAGGAAGTCAGGGGGCTCTAAAATGAGCCCTGGACCTAGGCAGGGAAGCTCATTTGGGGGTAAGGGCAGGGGATGAGGTAACAACTAGTGAGAGGGACATCCTTCCAATAGCGGAAAGAACCAGGTCTCCGTTAGAGTCTGCACTCAGAGACACAACCCCCCCCCCGCAAGTGCCCCTGGAAGCCGCACTGGAAGTTCCCCATCGGTCACTGCCGCTTACCACTCGGTGGTTGGAGGCCTGGGCCCGCAGAGGCTCCCTGTGCAGCTGCCGCTCACTCTCCGCCTGCAGCTCCAGCAGGGTCTTCATGGACAGGCCCTGCTTGGCCAGGCCGGCCCAGAGTGGGGGCGGGGAGCTTGGAGCAGGGGGCACAGGGACATTTGCTGCCTGCTGCTGCTGTAGCAGTTTCAGCAGCAGTTCCTGCTGTCGCACCTAGGCGAGGACACCGTGCAGTTGGTGGCCGGCTGGCACCAAGCACAGGCCAGGCCCAGGGGACAGGTGGGACTTGAACCTGCTTGCGCCGGAAGAGCTCCTCCTCTTCCTGCCGCCGCTTCTGCTCCTCCTGCTGCTGCTGCCGCCGCTTCTCCTCACGGCGTTTGCGCTCCTCCTCCTCCCGTTTCGCCCTGAGCTCCACTTCTCTGCGCTCTTGAAACTGCGGTGACAAGGACATCTGTTAGCAGGGAGGTTGTGCCTGCTTCAGCCAGCCTTCGCCAGGCCAGCCTACTACTTACTTTATGTTGCAGCTGGAGTTGTTCTAGAATTGGACCCTGAGTCGAAGAGTTAATTGGTATGTCCCAAAGACTGGCTTCACCACCTGCAGAAGAAAGGCGGCTGCAGAGACCCAGACCCCACCCACAGAGAGGAGGCAGAGCCACCAAGCGTGACAAACAGAGCCCGGGGGCAAAGGGACCAGGGCGTGGCATGGGGCAGGTTGACCACTCACCTGACTGTGAGGAAGCTGAGGTATGTAAGTCCCAGAGGGGGCCGGAATCTGGCACCGACAAGGACCGGCTCATCGTCGGGAGCAGGTTCTGGTCCCCACCCCTGAGAAGCAAACAACTAGTCCTCAGGACACCGCATTCCCTTGTAGCTTGACCTCCCCTTTCTCTACCTCACACCAGCACACACCCAGACCCCCCCACACAAGACACACACACACACACAGACCCCCACACACACAAGACACACCCAGACCCCCACACACAAGACACACACACACATACACAGACACACACACACGACACCCACACACATATACAGACCCACAAGACACCCCCCTGCAGACCTCCCCCCCCAAGACACCCCCCCCCAAGACACATACCCACACACACACAGACCTCCTCTTTTTTTTTTTTTTTTTTTTTTTTGGTTTTTCGAGACAGGGTTTCTCTGTGGCTTTGGAGGCTGTCCTGGAACTCGCTCTGTAGACCAGGCTGGCCTCGAACTCACAGAGATCCGCCTGCCTCCCAAGTGCTGGGATTAAAGGTGTGCGCCACCATGCCTGGCTGACCTCCTCTTTCTCTACCTCATACCAGCACACACACTCAGACCGCCTCCCCCACAGACACACACATTTCCCCCACACATTTAGTGCAGCCGACCTGGGGTTTTTGAGAGCCTGGAGCTGCTGCAGGAACGTCGCAAGCTGCTGCTGCTGCGGCGGCGTCAGGTCCCCCATAGCTGCCTTTTCCCGGAGCGCCGTGCACTGCGGGAGCTGGCGGCTACAGACACAGTGGGCTCAGACGCTGTCACCGCCTTGGACCACCGCCTTGCCCATATTAGGCCCAGAGCCCCCATACCTGCCAACCAGCTGCAGAAAGTGCTGTTGCTGCAGTTGCTGGTACAGGGCTGCCGCAGCCAGCTCCTGCTGCTTTTTCAGCCGCTCCTGATCCATGTTGCCCTGCGGGAGGTCAGAGCATGCCCGGGTGAGTGTGCCCAGCAGGAGCATGCCCAGCAAGTGAGGGCGTGAGGTAGTGCCTGAGGTCCTGCTGCTGCCCCCACTGGCCTTCCCTGCAGCCTGCAGAGCAGACAGTGCTCACCAGCAGCGGGGGTGGCGAGGGCCCGGGGGCAAAGGGCACACGGCCCCACATCTTGATCACTTCTCCCAGAGGCTGGAAACCCTCATCACAGCCCCTCTTCACCAGGAGTGACATGGAAAAGTAGCCTGCCTGGAACCACTCAGCCATCTCCTGGGTCGTGAAAGGGCCTGGAACAGGTGAGTGAGGGTCAGACAGTGGTCGAGGCAGTCAGAGAGCACACTCAAGTCAGTCTGCTGCCCACAGCTACCTTGGATCTCCCCCTGTGGGTCCTTGTAGAACCACTTGCGGGCAGCGCCGTGGCTGAGGGGAAGGGCAGTGGCGGCTGTGGAGTGGCGAAGGCCCTGGGTCTGCATGGCGGCCGTGAACTGCTCCTCCTCCAGGGAGCTGTCCTGCAGGGAGGCCACCAGTTTCTCTGCCTCCTGGAGTCCAGAGAGAGGCAAGTCTAAGCAGGCTGACACCACAAACATCAAAGGAGGCTGGGCTCGGGAGGGCAGGTCAAGGGATGCCAGACAAAGATGCCCTGCAGCCCTGGAGTGGAGGCCCCTGAGCACCCAAGGCACCCAAACCTGCTGCAGGTGCTTCAAGCCTTCTTCATCTTCTAGGTCCCCGGGGGGTCCAGGAGGTGAGCCGACTCCAGGACTCAGAGACAGTCCCCTCATCTCCTCTCCTGGGAGAAGAGACGGGAGATGGGGAGGGGCCGAGGAAGGGACAAGGTGGCTCTCTGCCTGCTAGGGACACAGGCTCTTGCCACACCCCACCCCAGTGTCCCCGCACGCCTCTGCACCAGCTCTTGCAGCCTACCTTCAGCCGGCGGAAGCTCTTTCTCCATGGTTTCATCACCGTCCTCGCTCGTCGTCCACAGAGGGCCCAAGGCAGGCAGCAAAGACGGGGAGCTGGACTTTTCCGGAGGAGGCAACGGGGTCACCTCCTTCCCACCTGGAGGAGACAGATGACTGCTACTCAAAACTGAAGGGGCTGAGGCGAAGGAGTCAGCTCAGTGTCTAAGTGTCTGTTTCACAACCATGAGGACCTGTGTTGAAATACCAAGAACCTGTATAGAAGCCACACATGGGCGGGAGAGTGGAGCAGAGACAGGACAGCCTACCTCAAACGAGGCAGCAGGGACACCCACTGCACCCACGCTGCCCGGCCTCACACTGGCACACATACAATAGAATGAGCGCAGGGAGGCCCTGCCAGTGAGACAGCGCGACGCTAACGTGTGCCAGCGCCCAGACCCTGGGGTGTGTCTGCCCTTTCTAACTTCGCTCAGCTCCCTAACCAGGCATGAAGCACGGATGCAGAGACCTGAGCTGTCTGCACTGTGCACACTGCCTCCCGCCTGCTCTGTGAGATCCTGGTTAGGACCCCCAAGTGGTGAGCACTGTGGGGCGCCTGCAGGCTTTCCCAAGGTCCCTCTCCTTGGCACATGCATGTGCACACATGCTGCAGGTTAGAGGACAGCCTGGCCTCCTCCCTGCAAGGCTTTAAGAGCTCACCTGCCTCAGGCCCCTCTTCATTCACCCCTTCTGAAGGCTCCTCCTCCTCGTCCTCCAGGCCCTGGAACTCAAGCTCTTGCTCCTCTGGAATAGGCTCCCGGGGGCCCTTCTGTGTGAGTAAGGGCGGAGTGGACAGTGGGTGGAAGGGCAGCCGAGGGGCAGCACCCACCAACCCACTGGTCCCTGAGAGGTACCTTAAGAGGCAGGAAGGCCCCAGAGGCATCGAAAGTGCCCATCTCCTCATCTTCATCGTCCAGGCACCACTCGGGGAGCCCATCCTTGTCATCTTCAAAGCCATCCAGCCCCCGGCATCTCCGGAGGTGAGAGCTGCCTCCCCCAAGCCGCCCATCCTCTTCACCACACCCTCCTCGTTCCCCTCGTAAATCAAAATCAAACTTGCGCCTCCGCTCCCCATGCTCCCGCCAGCCAGCAGAGCGGGGACCACCATCTGGAAGAGAAAGTTGGAGAAGGAAAACACAACACAAAAGTGAGTGATTTGCCGTCTTCAGCTCACCAGGCTTTCCCAACCAGCATGGCTTCCCTGGGATGTCCTCACCCCTCACACGCTTGACCACCCCTTCCCCACTATCAGCCCCAGGGGGCAGTTCCTGAACTCCACCTTGCTGCATCTTACCAGGGCTGGTGGAGCGCCAGCGATCAGCGTCTCGCCGGGGTCCTGCCCCGAGTCTCCAGCTGCCATCCTCCTCCTGCTCCTCGCGCAGGGAGCGCCAGTTCTCACTGTCGGAGCGGGCATGCTCCTTCCTCGGGCCAGCCCCTCCCTCCTCAAACCCAGACCGTGCTGGCATGGGGGAGACAGAGAGTAAGCACCAAAGAGCCTGTGACAACGTACTCCTGTCCCGGCCCCGGCCTGGGAGCCCTCTCAACGGCCCCTACCCCACCACACTCGACGCTCATACCTCCATCCCTCCTTGCAGACTTCTCAAACCGCCTCTCACCTCTGTGGAGGGAAGATGCCGGTCAAAACATACACACTGTCCCCTCTGCAGAGGGAGCCAGGGGACCCCCCCAAAACAACCAGAATGAAAGGACGGGCAGGACCCAGAGGGCTCTGGCGAGGGCTGGCCTGTTTCTAGTTCTTGCTGCAGACACCTCACTGGCAGCCCCCCCCCCTTCCTCATGCCCACCCCACCTGTCATCCCAGCTCTGGCTTCGCTGGATCTCCCGGGGATTGCGTCCAAAGGCCCCATCGCCTTCCTCAATGCTTCTTTGGTAAAAGCAGCTGTCACCACGACCACGGCCTGAAGGAAGAAGGGTCAGGTCACATCTGGGTTTGGGACCGTCTAGTGACCCTCTGTATCCTTAGTGCCACCCATGCAGACGCTGCCCGTCGCCTCCCCTGATAAACACGGGGACGTCCTCTACCTCGGCTCCGGGTGCTGCCCCTGCCACGGGAGGTGTTGGCCGCAGGGGGGCCCAGCCCCTTTCCCCATCAGCCTCAGCACAGCCACGCTGTTCACTGACAGGGAGAAGTTTCTCTGAGGAGGGAGCCAGGCAGGGGAGTGAGGACACATCACTCGGTCAACCCCCATCCTCAAGCCCAGCTCCTCTGCCCTCCACCCGAGGCCCATTTGCCTGTCCGGCTGGGCCCAGCCCACCTGCTCCTCCTCAGTTAGAGGTTCCAGGGCCAGAGGTTGTAGAGGCTCCTCCTGTAACACTGTGGCAAACTCCTTGTCCTGCAGCTCCTCGGGGACCTGTGACGGGACAGGAAGCCCAATACACCATCCATTCAGGGGCAACTCACCGACAAGGCAATGGGAGAGGGAGCCTCACCTTGTTCTCCTTGATGTACAGGGCCAGCATCTCCTCTCGCCCGTAGCGGTAATCTGCTAGCTTGTACTTGGGCATGGCAGGGGACGGGGGTGGCGAGGCCACACTGCCACCCCCTGAAAGAGCCCTCAGCCTACAACAGGCACAGAGAGGAAGAAGGGAGACAGAGGTCCACGTGGCCCTTCCCACTGCCCCAGCTTCTTCCCACGGGCCAGAGCGTGAACAACTCACCACTCAGGGCCAAAGTTCAGGGTCTCTGCTGCCATGGTGGAGCTGAGATGCTTCTCAAAGACCAAGAGTTACCAGAGAAGAGAGGACCAGACGTCGTGCTGTGCAAACCCTGTAGTGACAGCACAGCCGTCAGTAAGCACCTGCAGGTTAGTCACGGTGCCAGCCAGCACTGCACTGGGCCGGTGACACGCTTCATCTGCATGTCAGCCATTCTGGCATTGAAGAACTCACCTACACCAGACACGAGACCACTCACACCATGAGTTAGCCAAAGTTGAGTCAGAGTAGAGCAGTCCTAGGAGAATTAGAGAACAAGGAGGCTTGAGCCCTTTCTGCCTCAGTGGGGCGCCCTCTGGTGGCTCAACACTCACCTGACAGTTCTGCCCTGGGAAGCAGAGGAGGCGAGGGCTCTCTTCTGACAAGGCTGAGCTTAACTAGAGCAGAGCCTCCAAGCAACTAGCTGTCTACAGCCTCAGTAGTGCCGGGAGGAACTTTCACATCTGGGAAAGATCCTTAGGGAGAAGAAAGGAAGAGGTGGTTACGCAGAGGGTCAGATGGCTCCCCCGTCTGGCCCACAGCTGCGGGATGCAGGGCACTCAGGGCACACGTACAGGTGTGGTCTCAGTGAGGAGGTGAGTGGTGTCAGGACACAAACCAGGTCAGTAAGCCACCAGGACCCGACACGGTGGTGCCCACCCTTGCAATCCCAGCACTCTGGAGGCAGAGGCAGGAGGATTTCAAGTTTAAGGCCAGCCTGGGATACATTGTAAGACCTTGTTGCAGAAGCGACAAATGGACTGGGATTTAGTCAGCTGGTGAACTGCTTTCTTAGCACAGAGTCCTAGGCTCTGTCCCCAGTGCCACACAGAAAAGGTGTGGTGGCGCATGCCTGTGATACTAAAAACTTGGAAGATGGAGGCAGGAGGTTCAGATTTTTTTGTTGTTGTTGTTGTTGTTTTTGTTTTTCGAGACAGGGTTTCTCTGTGGCTTTGGAGGCTGTCCTGGAACTCGCTTGGTAATCCAGGCTGGTCTCGAACTCACAGAGATCCGCCTGCCTCTGCCTCCCGAGTGCTGGGATTAAAGGCGTGCGCCACCAACACCCAGCTCAGGAGGTTCAGAAATTTAAGGTCATTCCTGACTATATACAAGTTCAGGGTCAGCCTGGGCTACATGAAGCTCTGACTCAAAATAAAACACAAGGCACTGGGACCACGATGTCCTATAGAGGAATGGTCCATTTTGGCGAGTGTCACAGTAAATCTTGGAACAAGATGACAAGACAACTTACCTAAAAACAAACACAAACAAAAAGCAAAACAACAACAACAACAACTAAAAAGCAAAAAACCAACTAAGGGAGACTGTCTGAAAATCAGAACCAGGGGACTGTGTCTGGTCAGAAACCAAACCAACCCCACCCCCCACCCCCCAAAAAAGCAGACAGGTGCTGCCAGAACATTCACAGCAGCCTGTTAGAGCGAGCGTGCGTGCGTGCGTCTGTCCACAACACCCCAGGGTCATCTACTAAATGAGAGTCAAGCCCTAAGCTCACCCCCCTCATCGAGAGCGGTCTGTCCCTCAGGAAAAGGTAAAGCGGGGACGGGCTCTCAGATGGCTGCTGGCAGAAGGCTCCCTCACCATATGGGCAGAGGCGAACTCAGTCTCTGAGGCTGATGAGGCAGCAGGGGCAACAGCAGGGGCAGGTTCCTCTAGGAGCCTGGGTAGCAGACTCTCAGGAGAGGGTTCATCCAGGAAGGGCGGAGCACAGGAGGAAGGGCAGGCAGTGTCCAGGTTTCTACCACTGGCTGGGCAGGAGGCTGGACCAATGTGCCTCTGCAGTCCCCATCCGCTGCAGGATGCCAGGGATCTAGGGGAAGGAGGAAGAGGGTTACCACCAGAGGGGCTTCAGAAAGAGGGTCTCCCCTGTAGCTGAGACCCCATGGCAGACAATGGGCTGACCCAGAATCCCAGCACCCTGGGATCTAGGGTGACTACACATGGCTGCTTGGAGACAGCAAGAGCCTGGGCTGGCCCAGAGTCTCTGTGCTGCACGATACTCTGGAGGCCTCTGCAACCACACCTTCTCAACTACCACCCCGAGGGACCTGGAATTAGGCAGACCCCCAGGACAAGATGCTGAGTGGGACAAGTCGGGCACAGATAGCTAAGCTCTGGGGTTAGGGACATGGCTAAGCTCGCAGAGAGATTGCTGAGCACACAAAGTCCTGGGTTTGACCTTAGTATCACACCAGATGTGGTGGCCCACACCTGTAATCCTAGCACCCAGACAGTGGTGCAAAAGGATCAGACGGCCAAGCTCCTCCACCCCCACCCCAAAGAAAAGCAAGCAAACTAAACTAAAAAGGGCTGGAGATGTTGCTCAGCATGCACAGGGCCGTCTCCAGCCACTGGTACTGCCAAAAAAGAGACTGGGGCCTGGAGAGAGACAGCTCAACGGTTTACAGTGCTTGCGGCTCATCTAAAGGACTTAAGTTCAGGTCCCAGCACTGAAGAAACACACACACACACACGCACACACACGCACACGCACACGCACACACACGCACACTCACACGCAAGATAAACCCTCTGAGGATGTTTCTTACAGAGGAGCCAGGGCTAGAGGCAGGTCAAGCACAAAGACCTGGAGTTGGGACAGGACTCCTGGCAAACGATGAATGGGTCAGGGTCTCAGCTGGATACAGGGGAGGGGTGCGGTGACAACGGTGGTGACAGGTGATGGCAACACAACACTGTAAATGTATTAACATCAATCCCACAGAACTGCACACTTTTAGAAAATCCTTTTGCCTCAATCTCCTGAGTGCTGAGATTGTAAGCATGCACCACCAAGCCTAGCTTACACCCATAATTTACTTTTTATTTCTTAATTAAGAAATTATGTGTGTGTGTGGTGGGGAGGGTGACATATGACCTTGAATGTAGGTGTCCAGAATCTAGAAGGTGTTGGATCCCTGCGAGTCACCTGAAATGGCTGCTGGGAGTCACACTCGAGGTCTCTACAAGGGCTGTCTCTCCAGCCCTCAACAATCATTTTACAAAAGCTTTAGTGAGGTTGGTGGCTGAGGGTGCGCTTAGCATGCGCAAGCCCTGGGCTCCCATCCTCAGCGTTCATTCTTCTTTTTTCTTTTTTGGTTTTTCAAGACAGGGCTTCTCTGTGTAGCCTTGGCTGTCCTGAAACTAGCTCTTGTAGACCAGGCTGGCCTCAAACTCACAGAGATCCGCCTGCCTCTGCCTCCTGGGTGCTGGGGTTAAAGGCCTGCACCACCACCGCCCGGCTCACAGTTTATCTATAAAACAAAAAGGAACGTTTTGTAGGGTAGGGTAGATGGCTCAGTCAGAAAAGTGCTTGCTGCACCAACACAGGACCTCAGTTCAAGCCCCAACGCTCACATAAATGCCAAGAACTCCTGCCTAGAACCCTAGCACTAGGGAGGTAGGAAGAGGAGTATCCCTGAGACTAGCTGGCCATCCAATCTAGACATACTGGTGAACTCCAGGTTTCAGCAGAGGGCTGGAGAGGGCTCAGTGGGTAAAGTGCTTGCTGTACATACATGAGGACCCGAGTTCTAATCCCCAGAACGCCTGCAAAGACAGATGTATAGTGTTCCTACAGGGAGATGGGAGATGGAGAAAGGAGGAGCCCTGGGAGCTCATGGACCAGTCAACCTGACGAATGATGCCTCCCGCAAGACACCCTGTCTCCAATAAGGTGGAAGGACCAATATCCGAGGTATCCTGACCTCCGTGTGTGTACACACTCACACATGCATACACACAAAGACCGAGAAAGCAGTAAGATAGACAGCAAAAGAGGAAGACTTGCGCACGCTCATACACAAAAGCTTTAGGGGAAAAGTCACTGTGGGGACTAAATACTTTCCCCATTCCAAACAAAGAACCCCACACTCATACGATCTCCAAAGTGACAATCTGGAACCTTTTCAATCCTTCTGGTGGAGCAGGCATTGATCTCGGCAGTGCGGAAGGGTTGCCCAGTAGGAGAGATGGAGGGTACCCTCCCCTCCCTCCATGCAGCTGGCAATACAGCTCTGCCTCCCACAGGTGCTCGCTGCCACGCCTAATGCCGAGTTGATCCCTTATAATCTACTTGATGGAAGGAGAGAAGCCCGTCTTCCAGTTACCCTCAAACCCCCACATGCGTGCTTTGGTGTGCGCACACTCACTAAGTGAGCGAAGGGTGGGGTGGGAGGTGGACACCCTGAATCTTAAAAGGGAAAGAGAAGAAAAATAAGCAAAGGCAACGTGGACACGGCAGGGCCACTGCAGAGGGGGGAAGAGGCAGTCAGAGAGGAGTGCCGGGGACCGGGGCCACTGGCTTCTTCCTCACACCGAAGGGGCTCAGTAGCCCACTATGTGGTACCTGAGCTCCACTGAGGAGACTCTACTCCCGGAAGGGTATGGACAATGACTTCGGACACTTGAGGCCATCACAGCTGGGCAGAAGGCTGCTTCTGACTTCTAGCAGGTAGAGAACAGGGTCGCTGTGGAGCACCTCACAACCTCCAGGACAACCCAGAACAAGGAAGTATACGCTCAGTTGGCAGAATGCTTGTCGAGCATGCACGAGGCCTTAGGCTCAGCCCCCAACACGCAGACAGTGCAGGCCTGTCACCCAGCACATCCAGATAGAGACAGGTGGCCTGAGATGCCAACAATGACAATACTGAGAAACTCTCCTCTACCCGTGAGCCCAGGTGGAGACACTGGAGCGTTAGAGAGGCGTGCAGGCTCCCTTGCCCCTCAGCAGCAAGAAAAGGCTTCCCTCACCACACTGTCCCAGAAGAAAAGCCCCAGGTCCTGCCAGGAGGCGAGGCCTGGGGAAGAGAACAGGTTGAAAAGCAACAGCATCAGGCTGGAGAAATGGTTAAAGAGCGTGGGTCAGGTCTGACAGCCTGAATTTGATCCTCAGGACCCACACAGTGGAAGGAGAGAACCAGTTTCTCCAAGGTGTCCCCTGACCTTCACACACCATGAGACACACTTGTGTACATGCATGTGTGTGCAAACACAGTTTTAAAAATGAGAAAAAAAATCAAACCCTAAGTTTGTCAACCCAGCCCCTCAAAGCTAAGCACCCAAACCCCTTTCTAATAAAGAAACCAGTGGGCAGTGGTGGCCTCTAATCTCAGCACTCGGCAGGTGGATCTCTGGGAGTTGGAGGCCAGCCTGTCTACAGAGCAAGTTTCAGGACAGTCTCCAAAGCTACACTGAGAAACCCTGTCTCGAAAAACCAAAAAGAAAAAAAAATAAAAAGAAAGAAACCAGGAGGGCAACAGAGTTGGGGGCCACACCTTTCCCCTCCACATGTTCTACTGGCTGCCTAAGCGAAGGGGCTTTTTCTCCCAGGCCAAGTCCAGCTGGCCCCTCAGACTGCTTCACAAAGTCCCCTCCCCCAGCACCTGTGCTCTCTTGGCACTAAAAGAGTGACCCGTGCTGGAGCTGACAGCTTCCTCGAGGGACCTGGGCTGCTCCTCCTCATGTGCCCAGAACTCCAAACACAAGCTGAACACAATTAGGGACAATGCTTCCTTACTCTGTCACCCCTAAACTTTGTTAACAGAGTCAAAAACCCAAATGTCCCAAACTTGAGCAATCGCCCAACCACTCAGCCTGTTGAATGCAACTTTCCCAAGATGGACAGATGGACAGAGACATTGTGTGTATGTACTCTCCCTCCGTGCACAGAGGATGGATGGACGGACGGACGGACGGATGGAGAGACATTGTGTGTACGTACTCTCCCTCCATGCGCAGAGGAGGAAGGGCTACAGGAGCCCATCAGCTCTAGGGCAGCAGCTAGCCCGCTCTACCTACAGTGACAACCCCAGCACTTGACAATTGTGAATTAACTTCACAGTTTTCAAAGCATTTTCACGCTTTACCTCATTTGATCCCTCCTGCCAGCTCACCTAGGCAGGGGACTCCACTACATGGAAAATAAAGTTACAGCTTCCCTGCCAGGTACCCTGACACCCTCACCACCATCCAAGACTGACAGAGCATCCTGAGTGTTCAGGCTTCCTATGAGCCTGAAGCCGCTTTCAATTCCTTCTTAGACTCTGGGCTAATGACACTTGCTGAGAAAGGTCTCATGCTGTACCCAAAGCCTGCCTCAACTTAAAGCAGCCTTCCTGCTCCCTGGACGTTCCCATGTGGGCATGGGTTTCCATGTTCTGCATGTATCAGACTCACATGTGGATCTCACGCGTGCATGAGTGCAGAGGCCTGGGACTGATACCCGGTGTCTGCAGTTGTCCACCCCATTTACTGAGGCAGGGTCTCTCCATGAGGCAGAACGCTGTTTTGGCTCATCTAGCTAGCCCTCCTGCAGGAGGGGTTCTGTCTTCGAGGATGGCTGGGATGACGGGGAGCCTGCACGGCCATGTATGTGCTCAAACTTGTGTGTCACCTGTCTTACCTAGAGCTGAGCTGTTTTCTTTCCTCTCTCTTACTATTAGTGTATGAGGGGGGAGAGGCACGCACGGTGGGGGCAGAAGTGGGTTCCTGGGTCACCACTGGGCTGTGTTTCCTACCCTAAATGCCCGAATCAGACGAACAAGGCTAGTGAGGGCAACGTGGGGTCTGTTACTCACTGTCTCCACAAGCCGCTACTCGGCGATCACCAGGTGACAAAGCCAATTAACCAAGGTGAACACACTTTAAAGTTTTACTAGGATCCCCAAGTGGGACACTCAAGTCCCCCGGCCCACCCAGTCAACGGAGAGAAAGAATAAGGCAACTTCCTCAAATCCTCCCCCAATTCGGGATACTGATGTCCAACCTACAAAATAAAGCTGAGCTGGGTTGGAGTGTGGCTGGTCT